GTTTAGGCATGCGTAATTTGGATTTGTTGTTCCATTTTAGTATTGTAAGACAATATATCTTTGATGGATTGTGTAATTAAATTTAATTTCGATTGTTATTTGTAACGTGTTTATAGTGATCCATCCAACTATAGCCTAGTAAGATGCGGTTCCACCCAACTGTGCTCTAGGGTTTTTTAGTTAATCTTTTAATGTCATGAAAGGAATAAGATACCAATTAAAGTAATCACCAAAGAACTTGCCAATTAAATATCGAAAGACTTTAATGTTAAGGCTTAGAATAATTCGCTTGGTTACACATAATTTTTGTGACCAATTATTGGAAATCTGGGACAAATAATACTTATTTCAAACCAAAATTTTCGAGTCATTAAACATTTTCTTTTAAACTCTAACTAAAAAAAAAAAAAAATCCAAGGGATCTGCATAGACGTCTAGTATTATTTCTAATAAAACGCAAGGATACGAATGAAAGTAACCAAATCACCGAAAGTTTTTTAATTTTGATATATCACCAATGACTGAAGTTGTCGATAAGGTGCTGGAAGCGTTGAGGGGAAATAGTATGAATATCTCTTAGCAGTACATTTATTGATTTTATTTCATAAATTAAAGCACCGATCCTTTTTTTTGATATCTGCCAATATAATTGTCACTCCGAATATAAATAGACTTGGATAAAAAAATCGATGCGTTGGCAAAATTAGAAGAAGAGTTGATAGAAGAAACGCCACTGGAGGTTGGTTTTGAGTTTAAATCATAATCTTCATTTCTATGTGGATCGTCAATTTACAGAACGTCCGATTAATTATGTTTTCTCTTTAACAAATACTCAAAACTCTTAAATTTCAGCCACAGGAAATTAATCAACTTATACCACTCCTAAAAGATGCGGTTAAAGGTTCACAGGTGGCTCTTTCCAATGCCGCGCTCACATGTCTAAATCCATTTGTATCTTTAATCGCAGAAACTCATCCATCTCAATTTAAAAATGTGGTTTTGGCATTTGCGACTGTTGTCGTAGATAAACAAGGAGATTCAAAAGATAAAACTAGAGATACAGCACTTCAGGTGTTATTAACCATGTATAATAAAGCAACATCAATTAATGGCGGTGCTAACATTATAACAGCTCTAGGAACCATTATCAAAGACTC